CTTTGATTCCAAAACCAGGAAAAGACCCAATCCAAAAAGAGAACTACAGAACAATCTCCCTAATTAACATAGATGCAAAAATCCCCAACAAGATACTGGCAAACAGAATACAGAATGTCATCAAGAAGATCATACACCCTGACCAAGACAGATTTATCCCAGGGATGCAAGGATGGTTCAACATTCGTAAATCAGTAAATGTAATACACCATATTAACAGAGCCAAGGGCAAAAACCATATGGTCATCTCAATAGATGCAGAAAAAGCATTCAACAAAATCCAACCCCATTCATGATAAAAACCCTACAGAAAATTGGAATAGAACATCTTTATCTCAACCTGATTAAGGCTAACTATGAAAAACCAATAGCCAACATCATACTAAGTGGTCAAAAACTGAAAACTTTCACACTAAAATCAGGAACAAAACAAGGATGCCCACTATCACCACTCCTGTTCAATATAGTTTTGGAAACATTAGCCACAGCAAGTAGATAAAAGAAAGAAATAAAAAGAATAAAGATTGGAAAGGAAGAAGGTAACTGTTATTATTTGCTGATGATATGATACTTTACATAGAAGACCCAAAAACCTCCACCAAAAGACTTCTAGACTTAATTTACAGATTCAGTAGAGTAGCTGGATACAAGGTCAACACTCAAAAAAACAATAGCCTTCTTGTTCAGAAATAACAGACTCACTGAGTGAAATTAGAGAAATGATTCCTTTTACAATAGCATCCAAAAAAATGAAATATCTAGGAATCAACCTAACAAAGGAAGGAAAAGACCTCTACACTGAAAACTACAGCACTCTGAGAAAAGAGATTGAAGAGGATATAAGAAAATGGAAAGACATCTCTTATTCCTGGGTAGGAAGAACCAATATAGTGAAAATAGCCATACTTCCAAAAGTGCTATATAGATTTAATGCAATGTTGATTGAAATTCTAATATATTTCACAGAACTAGAGAAAGCATCCAAAAATTCATTTGGAACCAGAAGAGACCTAGAGGAGCAAGAGCAATTCTAGGCAACAGAGAAGTGGCAGGGGGTATCATAATCCCCAACTTGAAACTATGCTACAAAGTTACTGTGATATAAAACAGCATGGTACTGGCAAAGAAACACACCTGAGGATTAGTGGAATAGATTAGAAGATCCAGAAACAACTCCAGACATACTCAGCCACCTCATCTTTGACAAAGGAGCCAACCAGCCTCACTGGAGGAAAGATAGCCTATTTAATAAATAGTGTTGGAAAAACTGGGTTTCAACCTGCCAAAGATTAAAACTAGACCCATTTCTATCACCATGCACTAAACTAAGATCAAAGTGGATTAAAGATCTAAATATTAAGTCAGAAACACTAAGCTTGCTGGAAGATAAGTTAGGTAGAACTCTTGAAGACATTGGCATAGAAAAAGACTTTATGAACAAAACCTCAGTAGCACAAGAACTAGCACAAAGAATCAACAACTAGTATTTCATCTCATTAAAAATCTTCTGTACTGCAAGATAAACCACCAACAGAGCTAAGAAACAACTTACAATGTGGGAAAAAAATTTTACCAGGTACCTCTGACAAAGGACTACTATCTAGAATATATAAAGAATTGAAAATAATCTGACCCCACAAATTTAAAGACTCAATTCAAAAATCAGCAGCTGAAATGAACAGGCATTTCTCAGACAAAGAAGTAAAAGCAACCAATAAACATATGAAAAAATGTTCAACATCACTGGTCATTCGAGAGATGCAGATGAAAAAACTCTGAGATTCCACCTCACCTCAGAAAGAAGGGCTACTATCAAAAAATCAACCAATAACAAATGCTGACAGTGGTGTGGGGAGAAAGGAACCATTCTGCATTGTTGGTGGGAGTGCAGACTGGTGCATCCATTGTGGAAAACAGTATGGAGATACCTCAAAGAACTAGGGCTAGAGGTCCCATTTGACCCAGCTATTCCCCTGCTCGGTATCTTCCCAAAAGAATTAAAAGAATCATACCACAGCAATATATGTGCAACCATGTTTATAGCACCACAGTTTGTAATAGCTAAAGCTTGGAAACAGCCCAAGTGCCCACCAACTGGGAACTGGATAAAGAAGATGTGGGCTTTTTATAAAATGGAGTACTATTCAGCCATAAAGAATGAGAAACTAGAGACATTTATAGCTAAATGGATTCATGCTGAGGACATACTCTTAAGTGAAATAAATAGGACACACATGTGTAAAAATACTGAATAAAACTATTCAGAAACCTCCAGTGTGAGAAAGGGAAAGTGTAAATAAGAATTAAAATGAATAATTGATATTTGGAAATAGAAAGAAAAAGTCCAAAGTGGTAGGGGAAGTGGGAATGGAAGGGGAAAGGAAAGAAGGAAAAGGAGAGAAGGGAAAGGAAAAATTATGAGAAAAGAAAAAAATGGAAACAAAGTCTTTGTAAATAGGGAAGGGTGGAGGGGGGGAAGGGCACACAGGTAATGGGGAAAAAATAAGAACCAAGATACATCATGTACAGGTACAAGCACCCAATGATAAATGTAAATGTATTACATACATAAAATATATCAATAAAAGAACTCAAGCAAAAATAATAATAAAATAAAACAGGGACTGGGAGACAGCAGGTGGTTTGTTTATAGCCCCTTTAGTCTTCGGGCCCTGCTGTGAGCCATTTGAGCCATGGAAAGTACTTGCAAACATCTAGTATTTAGCCTTATCTTGGAGAGCCTTTTCCTGTTTTTCCTGTTCTTCTTGGCTGTTATATACCTTAAAAAGCTATAGTGAGGAGATCTGGTTGGCTCGCCTGAGGACCCTCCTCAATCTTTTTTAGTTTTTTCCTAATGTCAAGGGCTGACTGAGATGAAGTGAGTATTAATGACAATCATACCAACCTGGGAGGTAGGATCAATTTTGGTGTATTTCTGAAGGGTCTCAGCAAGGCATGACAAAAATTGTGCCAGGTTTTCTTCATGGGTCTGAGTTATTTCCCTAATCTTATCAAAGTTAACAGATTTGTGGGCTGTCTTTTAGACCTCCAGTAAGGCAGATATTGTATGGTCTCTGTGGCCCTGATCTGCCTGACCTGGCTGATAGTCCCATTGGGGATCTTCCCGGGGTACAGCTTGAGCTGCCACTGGCCTGGTATTATCTGTAGCATGAAATTCATCAGCCACAGTCTGGGCCACTGTCCAGGCTCTTTCCTTGTCCTTGGGAGGGAGAGTAGAAATTAGTATAATATAGATATCATGCCAAGGGAGATCATAGGACAGAGTCAAGTAACAAAATTATTTGATGTAGGAGTCAGGATAAGAGGAAAAAGAGTCGAGACACTTTTCAATTTGAGAAAGATCCATGAGAGAAAAAGGGGCATGGACTTTGACAATGCCTTCCATTCCTGCCACTTCCTGGAGAGGCATGATTGTGGTGGGAGGGGCCGGAAGTGTGGGGTATTGGGCATGGGTGTGAGGAGGGGAGGGGAAGCTGGGTGGTTTTTGTTGTGGTGAGTGAAAGCGCCCTGGGGAGGGAGAGCAAGAGGGAGTGATTGAGGGCACTGAGGAGGGGAAGGAAGTGGCAGGATTGTAGGGAGGTGGTGGGGCAAAAGGGGCGTGGTCAGCTGGATCAAAAGTAGTCCTGTCCCAGCCTGGGTTGAGCTTGGGAGTGGGGGGTGAAGCCACGTGGGCAAGGAGAATTTGGGGAGTGGAACAAGACTGACAAAGAGAAGGGGCAGTGCAGAGGCAGATGAAAGCCTGAACATAGAGGGCTTCAGATCATTTGCCATTGCAATAACAAAAAGTAAGGAGATCCTGAAGAACATTCAGGTCAAATGTTCCATTTTCTGGCTACTGGGATCCATTATCTAGTCTATATAAAGACCACACTTGTTTGCAATAGGAAAGAAGCCATTTAGGCTTGACATCGTCAGCGAGTCCGAGAATTTTTAAGTTAGCCAATAGGCATCCCAGAGGGGTTGATCCTGGGGGTTTGTATTGAGTAGTTCCCATAATAAAGGGAGGCCAGATATATAAGGTCAGGATCAGAAAAACTCTCAAGGAGAAGCACAAAAGGGAGGAGTGTCCTCGTCCCCTTTGACAATCTCCAGAGAGAGAGTGAGAGGATCCAAGCCAATGGGGCATCCCCCAGGGGCAGCAGTCCTGGCCATGGCCCGAGACGTGTCCACCTGACTTAACAATAAGATTTTTTGAGTGAGAACACTGAGAGGCAGAGGACCTGAGAGAGAGAGGGAGGGAGGGAGGGAGAGAGACCAGTCTGAGTACTCAGCCAAGAATTGAGTGTAGGTGTGGATATGAGCAATGGCAAGGGTGAAGGCCCCTGGTTGGGTGTTGGCTAGGCAGGGCCCAAGAAGGACAGTTGGGGGCCGGGGATTTAGCTCAGTGGTTCTGCCACCTGCCTTGCAAGCGCAAGGACCCGAGTTCGATCCCTGGCACCAAAAAAAAAAGGGCAGTTGGGAGGCCAATCAACCCTGGCCAGTGGGAGGTTGTCACAAAATCCCAATCCTGTCCTTCCTGGACTTTCAACACCAGAAATGAGAGGATAAGAATGAGCCTAAAACATGAACACCCAAAGCTAGGCCTTTATTAGGGGATGGGATGCTGAGCTGTCTCAAACAATGGTGAGAGCAGCAGCCAGGGGCTGGCTAGGTGACCTCTTATATAGGCAAGGGGCATAAGGAGGGGGGAACACAATGGAGGTAGATGTTTGGCTGCAGCCAGAGGTGAGATTTAAATCCATTGGCAAGTTTGAATTTCTCAGTGGGAAGGACTACAAGCAAGAGAGCTTTGAGGCAGGAAAGTTATCTGCTGGGAAGAGGCATTTAGGAGGTGGGCACTGCCAGAGCCATTTTATCTAGCAGAGAACTCTATCAATAATAAAACATAGTTACTATACTAAATGCTGGCTAGGATGTGAATAAACTGGATCTTTCTTACATTACAGGTGGAAATATAAAATGGTACAGACAACACTGTAAAAGAGCTTGGCAGCTTCTTAAAAAGAACTAAACATGTATTTATTATATGATCCAACAATTGCATTGCCATGTATTTATCCCAGAAAAAAATAAAAACATTCACAAAAACCTATACATGAATTAATATTCATGGGTTCTAGTGTACCAGATTTCTTAGTAATAACCAAACAGTACAATTTAAAGTGTCTTATAAGTGAATGGCTAAGCAAGCTATATGCATACACACAATGAATACTACTCAGTGACAAAAAGGAATAAAGTATATATGAAATAACTTGTGAGGATTTCAAAGGCATTATACAGAGTGACAAAAGTCAAACTAAAAATGTCACCTACTGTAGATCCTATTTATATAACATCCTCAAGAGATAGAGAAGAGATTAGCATTTGCCAGATGTTTGACATAGTAGGGGTGGGTCTTACTGTGAAAAGGTAACATGAGGGAGTCATTTTGGTCACTTTTCTAGGCACTAATACACAATACTCAACACCTATAACTTACAGGGGAGGGAGATTTATCTTGGCTTGTGGTTTTTAGAGGACATTGTCCACAGTCCAAAGCTGCCCCTAAAGCAGGAAAGGAATGATGAAAGGGTGCAGTGGAGGACAGTTGCTCACATATGGCACCCAGGAAGCAGAGACCAAGGGTAGCCAGGGTGGGAAATATATCTTTCAGGTCACACCACCAGTGACTGCCTCTTCTGATCAGGCCTACCTCCAAACAACACATTCAGCTATGGATTCATCAATGGGATCATACCACATGATCCAATAGTAACCCTATGATCCAATCACCTTTTACCTTCCAAAAGTCAATCTCAGAATGCATGAGCCTTTTAAGGGACATTCCATATCCAAACCATAAGAGGAGGCTTTTATTGTCATGGAACTGTTCATCTTGGTTATGGCAGTGGCTACACAGGCATACATATCAGAGAATCAACATAGTGAAAGCTGGAAATGTTACCAGACTTGGCCATATTTAAGATTCATGTAGTTGTTACATTGTAGACACTGATTATTAAGCTGTCCCAAATTATAATGTGGTCATATTAAGGTGGTGAGAAATAGATATTCCCATATGATATAAGGTTGAGTTGGAGACATCATAATCCCATCATTAGTTGTAGGAAGTCAATAAGAAATCTAAGAATGAAAAATCAAGAAGTAGCAATATAAATACTATATGAAATATGGACACAAAATCTAAAATAATCAGGTAAAAGCATTGAAAATGATTGCTTCTGGGAGGTAGGAAATGGCGGGATGTTAAGGATCCCTTAGCTTTCATGCATAGAACTTCTAGAATTATTTGACTAAATCTATGCGCACATGTAACTTTTTAGTATATGTAATGCTGAAGCGAGCACTGCACATGTAACTTTGACAAAGGTAAAAACAAATTTTAGATAATTTTAGATCATTAGACTAATGTTATGAGTTACACATAAAAAGAATATCCATAGTAGCAGAACTAAAAGAGAATTTTATAGGCTTGCTGGATATAAAATTGATATTCAAAGTTCCATTGCAATCCTATCCAGGAGTCCAAAAGCATTGGAAAAAGTAATAATAATTTTTAAAGATTTGAAAATTACAAAGTATTAAAGATGGCTTTAATTAAAGATGCATAGGATCATTATATGGGAAAAGACTGTAAAATTCTGAATTGAAAGTTATAAAAAAACCTAAATAAATAGAGGTATACCATGCCCATGTATGGGAAGACTTTCTATCAGAAATACATCAAGTTCCTCAATATATACTTTATTCCAAATGAAATATATATTTTTTCAATATAATCAAATAATAATTCTAAAAGCATTTTTCATAAAACTTTAACAAAGTGATTCTAAAATGCTTCAAGGCCAGGAAAAATCATGAAATTTTGAACTAGATAAAATAGGATGGTTTGCTTAAAGGAAATAACAAAACTTATTATAAAGTGATTATAAAACAGTGTAATATTGATATAGAGAAAAAAGTAGATTAGTGGGAAAAAGTGCTCATCAAAATAACCCCAGATTTTTAGAACTTGATAGATGGCAATAGGTGTAGTAGATACCAGGGAGTGCTGGGTAATTTACCTTGTAAGATAAAAAAAATCCTTACAAAATAATCATACATCAAATGAAATACAGCTAGGACCTAACTTGATCAAAACTGGGCCAGGGATTTAGCTCAGTGGTTCCGCCACCTGCTTTGCAAGCGCAAGGTCCTGAGTTCGATCCCTGGTACAAAAAAAAACAAACAGGAAACATCTTTGTGTAACAAAATTTCTCAAATGTTCCTAACACTGCAGCTTTGTGGACCACCCTAGAGGAACAAGAAGAAATCTTCCATATATGCCCAAGGAAACAAACATAAGAATGTTTAAGGCAGAATTATATTCACAAAAATATTAAATAAAGCTTCAATATCCATGGGAACAATTAATGAATTGTGGCATATTCTTATAATAGAAAACCATACAACAATGAAAATTAATGAAACAGAGCTATATCAACAAGAATAAATTCACAAGCTATATTAAGTATAAAAGAGTTCCAAAATGCTGTATACAAAATAATAGCATTTATAGAAAATAGAAAATATACAAAATAATACTATATATTGCTTAAGAGTTTATCTAAATATAATAAAAATATAAAGTTACACTTCAGAAGAATAAACACGAAATTCAGGACAAAAAGTTTAAAAGGGAATGATTAACATAATGGCAAATTGTTAGTATTTTGCAAGATTAGGATGGTAGGTCCAATGGTATTTTTATATTGATTTTTATACATTTCAGAATAGAAAAAATGCTTATTCAACATACCAGTAATTTGTAATTTTCTACGTGTTAAAGCCTGGATGAAAATGAAATTCCTCTGAAAATTAAGGATTGTTTGTGATTGGAGCAGAGCAGATGTCTATTTTTCCAATCAATTTCATTCTCCTCTGGATGGAAGCAGAGCCAATTTGAAGTTCAGTACATCATGGTCCAGACATTCCCAAGTCCATCTCTGACTCAGCCCAAAAGCCCTGAGGGAAGGAATATGAGAAAAGAATGGGGAGGAAGCACATCTGTAGTGGGGGTGGCAGAGAAAAGTTGAGGGTCTTAGGTCACCTACAGGTCTTTGAGGCTTCTGTCCGCCACTTTAGCCCTTGGAAGAGGGTGGAAATCAATGTACCACAGGGCATGCAGGCACTGTAGGGAAAACATCATTGGATCATTTGTTTGTTCATTCATGTCTTAATTCCACATACACTATATTTATTGTGTACCTAATACTGTATGTGGCAGGTATTCCACTTGGTCTGAGTTCATGGTACAGGTCAGAAATAAACCCATTCACTACATCCCAACATGCTCTATGGGTTCTGAACTCCCCCTCATACCCACATTCATCTTTGCTACCAGTCGGAACCTCCAAATCTTTTGTGTATGCTTTCTTAGTTCATTTTAGCAATACTGTCTTTATTCATTACAAATATATATCATATAAAAATTGAAATATATAACTGTATGGGGAGAACCCTTTGGAGTTTTTATCTTCACTTTCTTTCCACTCCCACATTGTAGGCTCCCACCTCCAGGGTCCCAAGGACATAACTTGAAAATTTTCCAACTCCAAGGTTGTACAGAAGGCATAGAGTTGAAAGCCACTGAAAATTCCAAGAGATATTTGGAGAAAGAAAATAAGAGTGTTCATAACCTACTGAGTCTGGCTTCACACTCATAATCATCATCATGGGCCCCCTGTGACTTTGTGACCTTGCCCTGAACTCCTGTTACCAGTCTATGACTATGACCTTGACCTCTCTCCCCAAGGACTAAGACCCACCCCAAACTCACCTGTCACAGGTTCCACCACTTATAGATGTAGGTGACTGTGAAACTCCCACAAGCAGTACCTTATGGACCAGGAGGAAGATCACAAAGATTAAGGCAGATGTCTCTTGACCTAAATGTCACAGAGCAGAAAGAGCCTATAAGGTTTTAAATTTCACACAGTAAATGTTGATTTGAATATCTGACATCCACCAGTCAATGTAGATGGCACTCATTGTACAAATAACTTCAGAGGTACAGAGCTGAACGCAATCACTGCCATGTCTCCAAGGGCTTGTGATCATTTAATGTAATCTCTGCTACAATCTCAGGGAGCTAGTATTGTTAGCAACATTTTATAGATGGATAAATGGAGTCTCTGAAAGTTAGGGACTCAGCGTCATAAGTTTCCAAAGCTATAATTACTGGAAACTGAATTTTAATATAATTTTATCTGAATTCAAATAATAGTAACAATAGTTACTGATAGTAACTGATGCTTAGACATACATGTAGACTATATGTAATGTGTACATATTAATTCATTTAATCCTTATACAGACACTATGAACAAGAACTTTCCTTAGGCTCTAGCTACCAATGAGAAACTGGATACAGGAAAGTCATTTATCTGAAAGAATTAAGTGGGAGAGCACGCTCTGTTGTCACAGCAGACATCATGCAGCCTGGGGTATAGCTGTTTAAGCAATGTACAGGCAAGTTTGCTTCCACACAATTCAGACTATTTTGAACAAGAGAGTCTTGCTGATGACCATCTCACATTCACTAGTAAGTTACTACCATTAAGCTGTACTCTCTCTAGTGCATTTTCAAAGAAGTTTGAGCTAGTAATGCATTCTTTACAGATATGAAGGAATCTTAGTACATGGTGAGAGATATGGGCCTAGATTCAATCTTCTGCATGTAGATAGCCAATTTTCACACAGAACCATTTGTTAAAGAAGCTATCTCTCCTCCAGTATATTCTTTTGGCCCCTTTGTCAAAGATCAAATAGCTTAATGCATCTGGGGTTGTTTCTGCATCCTCTATTCTATTCCATTGATTCACGTGTCTGTTTTTGTGCCAGTAACATGTTTTCATTATCACTGAATTTTTATAATATGACTTCAAATCTGAAATTGTGATGCCTCTTGCTTTGCTCTTGTTACCTAGGATTGCTTTTACTATTCTTGATCTCTTATATGGGAAACCCAAAATGTAAATCAAGAGCAAAATAAAAGAATTAATAGGAAACAGGGAGATAGGTCTTTTTCAAATGGGAAAGGTATCAAGAGATGGAAGGAGAGGGGAGGAAAAGGGGATTAAAAAAATGAGATGTGTTATGTACATGTACAAGATCCCCACAAAAAATGTAATCATTTTGTAATGTAAACATGTACATACTAATAAAAAACCTGAAAACAAATCAAAAAGGAAAAAAAATCTTTCCAAATGACCACATCTAAAGGAAGTTACTGACTAGAAACTAATCTGCTTACTCAAGGATTCACAGATACTCAATTTGAACAAAACCTCAGTGATCATCAAGCTCCTTCTCCCAGTGCTTCCTGAAATCCACTCAGGAGACAGAGATGACCCAGCTAGCTACAAGAAAAGAAGTAAACTTACCTGAGCTCCGAGTGGATTTGTGTATGGTGTGGGGTGCTGTGGGCATTATGAGGCTGGCCTGGATGGAAGGCTGTTTCTCTTGCTGCACCCTACAGGTGAACACCCGCTCAGGTCCTTGCACTGATGTGTTCAACAACTGTGAGCTCTCCTTGGTATAGGCGCCATCAGTATTCTTCTTGAACACAAGTTCCTCAGTTCCCTTGAGTGTGTGGCAGTCCTCCAGCCAGGTGAGGTGTACATTTTCTGGATAGAATCTTTGCATATGGCAAGTAATGGCCACCAAGCCAGAGGAGACTGGAGAATGGGACACTGTTGCTGCAGGGGGCACTGAAAAAGCCCAGAGAAAGCAGACAGTTACAATCTCTGCAGAGATTGTAACCTACTCAGAGGTAGGTTCAGAGCCTGTCATCAAGGAAGATTTAGGTATTGGTTAACAGAAGGAAATGCATGGTGAAATGTGAATGCATAAGGGAATTTATTTTGGATAGATGGTGGGTGGATAGGTAGATGGATGGATGGCTAGATGAGTGGAGAGTGGAAAGGTGGGAGAATTGAAAACATCCCAATCTTTCTTTTCCACTTTGGTGTTAAAGATGAAGCATACATTCTATCAGGAAGCTACAGATCAGTTGATTCATTCTATTACAAGATAATTCTATGATTTGAAGATTCATAGACACTAAGTTTTAAAGTCCAAGATACTCCTAGTTACTAGTATTTTACATAGGAAGAAACTTTAGTTTGAAGAGGAACTTGCCTAAATCACCAATGGCTTATGTCAGATTCCTTCACAGACAGAATTCTTTTACCATTATGCTACTTTGATAGCCAAACTATAAAGCTGTAAGCAATTATGATTCTAGGCTTCTGAAGTTAGGGTCAAATACTTCTATAAAAGTAAACATATCTTTAGCTACACAATAGAGTATACTGACAATGAGGAACACTAGGTGAATTTTGAAATCTTATTAAACAGGATACTCAGCCGGGGATTTAGCTCAGAGGTTCCGCCGCCTGCCTTGCAAGCAGGAGGATCCAAGTTCGATCCCCAGTACCAAAAAAAAAAAAAAAAAAAAAGGATACTTTTCAGTAAATTTCATATGAACACACTGAGTGGTGCAGCTGTAGCACTAAATTAAGGGCTAGGTGATCTGAATTCTGGGCCCTGCACTAATACCACAGCCATCAAAACTTTGTCCAAGTCATTGTCCTTCTGTTTCTAAGACTTTAGATCTAGTTTAGAGATTTCAGGTCTTTGTCAAGTGTACAGAGAGTAAATCCTTATATAGCACTGTTTGAAGGAGCTAAGGGTATCTAACCCCAAAATATCCTTTCCTCCTCCTCAACCCTCCTAGACCTATAAAATGTTATACACGCTGCTGCTAGTGGGTTAGATAGCCAAGATAAGAGACCATCCCCTGAAGCTGACCACTGTGCTCAGTCTCTCCCTTCAGCATCCAGGCCCAACACAGGATTCTTGCTAAGCAAAGGGCAAGACCTGAGAAAGGAGGACCAGGACAGCAGAGGCCTGGTAACATAATGGTGCCACAGGGAACTGGTTAGGGTGCAGTGTCACCAAGCAAGTAATCTAATCTGGTGGCATGGTGTCCAGGGCTACATCAGGAGAACAGAGGCCTGTATACAGCAGCTGATAATGCTCCCAGGCACTGTGTGGCAGTGTTGGAGGCAGTGTGCATGTGTTTCCTTAATTAATCCTCACAAAACCAAATGAGGTGAATATAGAAAGTTACTTGGTATCAGGAGGAAAAAGAAAAGCAACACTTAGAAGAAACCCATACAAGTCAAGCACGGTGGTATATGCCTATAATCCCAGCATTCTGAGAAAGTGAGGCAAGAAGATTGCAATTTCAAGCTCAGTTTGGGCAACTTAGTGAGAACTTGTCTCAAAACAAAAAACAAACAGAGGACCAGGGATTTAGCTCAGTGGTTCCACCACCTGCCTCGAAAATTCAAGGACCCAAGTTCGATCCCTGGTACCAAAAAAGCAAAACAAAACAAGAAGAAAACAAAGAGGACTGGGGATGTAGCTCAGTGCATAGGTCCTGGGTTTAACCCCCAGTATGGAAGGAAAAAAAGAAAAACAAACCTATGCAAGATCAGGCTGCAATTTCATAGACATTGTCAAGAAAAGAACTAGCTAAAACTTCATTCTGAAAACTATTTAAATTATAAAAATAGTTTCATTTAATGTATATTTAATTATATATAGAATATAACTGTAACTATACATCAACTCAGGAGAAATAAGTGGTAGGAGCACAAAAAAAGCTGGCATGATTGTTAGTCAAAATTTAAACTATAGCACCAACAAATTCTTTATTTTAAATTCCCCATTCGCAAGCACCTTTGTTAAAAGGTTATTTTGAAATATTATTTAAAAGTATTTGAGTGTTCTATCAGTCTTCACAGGGCCCTCCTTTAATCAAAGTGTTTCCTTTTGAAGTACCCACAGTATCATTATCATCAGAGACTTTCCCTCCTTCTTCTATTTCTAAAACTTCAAAGCTTTGCTTGTGATCCCAGCAGTATCCCAGGATTATTTGCATTGACTTTTTAAAACACAATTTTTGCAAAAGCTCAATTTCACTGTGTCATCGATGTGAGTTCTATGTGCCCAGTTTGATCTGATGTTGCCAGGCTTCCTTCAAGGCCAGGCCAACCTCCCTCAGCAGGGGTTTCTGGGCTCCAACACATCCAGCAGCCAGCACCCTCAGGGCAGCAGTGCTAGGTGGTGCCACACCACAGAGTCCCACATCCAACTCCCAAAATGCCTCCCCACTTCTCTCCCTTGGAATTCTCTATGACCATGAAATGCCATCAACCAATGCAGGCATGTCCCAGCCTGTCCTCCTTCTTGGGACAACTCTGAGGCACAGTCTACACTGCTCTTCAAAGTATTCCCAGTTGCCCACCCAGCAACCCACATCAATAATTCATCCTTAATTGGCTGTTTTCCTAACTCTTCTGTGGCTCCCCGCATCCTGATCCTCAGCATTACCTCCCAAACCCCAACTCTGAGTCCAGCTTCAGGCTCTGCTTCCATGAAAACCCAAACAAAGACACCCACAAGGACATTCCATGGCAGGAGACCCAACCTAAGCTATGTGCTGTGGTGAACAGGGAGCAGCTTGGAGTAGCAGCTCATTTGTGATTAATCATATTCTCTATGACTATTGCTTCTCTACACAACTGTCCTAGCACTGGGGAATCTTATCATAAATAGATGGATAAGGAGGATCCCTGCACTATCAGCTTCCTATTTGACAGCCCAATATAGTGCACCTGGGGAACTCACAGGAAACCCCACAGGAGCTACCAAAAGCAGAGTTGAGAGGCTGGATTCATGTCAAAATGTCTCTCACTCACCAGCTTTACAAACTTGGTTTGTACTCCAATTTCCTTTTGTAATCCACAAACAAGACAAGCAATATATGGCAGCTGTACACATTAAGCCAATTCCTTATGACTGTGCTTTACTGACTGTGTGCTGTGCCTGAGGCATTAATACCATCATTTTTCTTTATCCAAAACAATGTGTTTACTTCTGTGATAGTAACACACTGGTCCTTCTATTTTTGTGGATGGGAAAATGAAGAGGAAAATATTTTGCAAATGTTAAAATCCAATATGCTTTAAATATTTCATTTTACTCCTATGCAACCTTGGACCACCTACTTGACTTCTCAGGGTTTTAGAATTGTCAGAAACACTGAGATAATCACTAAGATTCTTTCTAGGCATGATACTTTATGACTTTACTCCTTTACAAATCTTCCAAACATTGGTCTTGTCCAGGAAAACCAAGAAAGCAAAACAAACAAGCAAACAAAAAAAAATTAGATCCATATCCTGTAGAAGTAATAATCTAAAACCATCATAATCTCTAAAATTTAGAAGTTCACAAAGCCCTTCCTATAAATATTAAAATTTCCAGAAGATATTCTGTCTCCATTTTGCAAATGAAGGAGGTGATTTCTGAGAGTTAATGTGAATAATAAAAAACAACAACAAACACTTATGTGTGATCAGTATGGCATAGACACTGGGCTGAGTTCTTTACAGGTGTTAATTATTGAATCCTTGCACAGCCAAGTGAAACCATTTCTCAGTGAGAAAACTGACAGAGAAGTCCCCAGCCCAACTCTTCACTGATTCAGCCAAACAAAGAGAAAGCTCTTACCGAGGAGATACTGGCTCGGCTGATGTTTTTCTGGAAAAATCAGTAAGGACTTCTGCTTGACCTCACAGTGGACAAAGGAAAACACACTATCTTTGTTCAGTGGGACAGACACAGTGCTGGTGAAATTATAGATATCCCCACTATGAAGGACCTTGGTCTGGGGTTTGGGGAGTTTGTGGTTGTTTATGAGCCAGGTCACCGTAACACGACATATGTGTAATCTGGACAATGTGTATGTCAGTTGGATGCTTGTGCCTGGCTCAAAATGCTGCTGCAGGCCTTCCAAGTTGTCAGAGATCCCTTCTGATGAGGACATCGTTCCTGCAAGGAGAGACCCTGATGAGCCCATGCCACAGTTGCTTGAATCCCTATGTGAATGAGTCTTCAGCATTTCTGCTGCTCCCCTTTCACAAGGCTCAAATGTTCCCTGATGACAGGCACCAACTGAAGCTGCTGTCAGAGGCTGAATAGGGAGCCACAGGGGACCACGCAGTATGTAGGGAGTCCAGTATCACACCGGAAACACCCATATCACATCCTGCAGCAAACCTGGGGAACAGATCCCATTCCATAGATGAGGAAACTGATGCCCAGGTAGCCTGAGTATCTGTCCAGATCCAAAGCAGAGTCCGCGGCAGAGCCACAGGTTCTAAACCAGGCAGCCTGGTCCCAGGGTCCCTGCCCTGACCACCCCTAAGCCCTGTCCTTGGTCCTTAAAAGGGGAGACTCCACACTTTTCACAGGCAGGTCATGGGAAGAGGTTAGAGTACGGACTTTGGGGGCCCACTCAGCCCAACTTTGCATTCCCAAACCTCCCCTGGGTGAGTCTGAGCAACTTAACTAAACTTACAAACTCAATTCATTCCCTAAGGCTGGTTGTAACTCAAGTTGGTCAGTTGAAGGCTCAGACTGCTTTACACAGCCTTCAAAGTCTCTCTTCTATACAGGCAGATGTTAATGTCCTTAGAGAGACATTGGCCCAGGATTTCTCATTTAACCCCATGAAGAAAAGGATGTAATGTTCCTTCCAGAACTCTTTCAGGGTTAAATCTTTATCTGAGAACATCTGAAAGCATAAGCAGCTGGTATTTGGGTCATAACTCAAGACTCTGGTTTTAAGTTAAAACTAAAATTCCAGTCATAACCCAAGTTGTTCATATATCGGGCTGGTTGTAACTCGAGGCCCCACTGTATCTGTAAAATGGGGATGATCCTTAATTCTCAGAATTAATAAATGAAGTAAAGGAGCTGATGTAAAATATGTGATGCATGCTAATGACTCCACAAATGGCAACCATCAACACCATATACTCACATTGACCATGTGTGGAATTGTTCTTCATTCCATTTTTAATGTAAACAGAGAAAGAAAAGGCTCAGAGAGGGTTAAGGACTTGGCCAAGGGCTTCATGGAGAACAGAACTGATGATGGAACACAGGAATTCTGACCTCAAGCCAAGGATTTTTCTGCTACATCGTGGCTGCCACTGTTGGCTTTATACTGATAATGATCTTTAACTTTCTGGGTACTATGGAGATTGTAGTCAATCATTGCAGAGCCCTGACTATGTGCCCCACTGTCCAGACACCATGTAGGAGTCAGGGAAAGCAAACCTCAATGGGTCCCAGCAAGGTGTGAATAGTAATCATCACTGCACAAAGGAAGAGATGACTCAGAAAGAGAACTGTTTTGCCTGAGGTCACACAGATGGGCAGGGGCAGCCCTATAGTGTGACATTGATTGGTCCCTACAACTCCAAAATGTGACCATCTCCAAGTATAAGGGGCTGCCCCTGTTCCAAGGATGTGGGAGCTGTTTGTGGTGTAATAAAACCTCATACTAGGAGCTTTCAGGAAGCCCCATAGTCTAAGCACCAATTGTGGAAACTGAATAGTGGAAACAGATGTGACAGTTCAGGAGAAATGAATATCGGAAATAGAGTATTTAAGATGCAGATTTGAGAAGAGACTTGAGAGAACACTAAGGTTTGTATTCTCTGGCAGAATAGAAGACAAAATTATGGGAAAACACGCTGAATTTCTGAACAGACAGCTGCATCCTAAGCTATCCTAAAATGCTATCTAAGACCTCTGAGATCTTAGTCCCTATGTTACCTTCTAGTTGTCATAGGATCCAATCACATGGGTGCGGATGCCTGGTATAGAGTAAGTGCTCTATGACTGTTAGCCAACAGGAACAGGGCACAGGGTATGAGTATACAAGGGTTGGGGTGCTGATGAAAAGTCTTTTGGGTGGTTTGAAGAGGTTCCTCCTCAAAGATGTGCTAATGCCAATAGAAAGAGGCCTGAGTATTTGAAGAGGAGAAGGCTTCCCTCCCCCTGCTGCCCTGGGGCTCATAAAGCCACGTAGGTAGCAATAACATCAAAGTGATGCTTTCAGGGGCTCATTCTGCATCCTCAGGCCAGAAATACTGTATCCAGGTGAAGGAGAATAATAAGACAGAGATGGGAAAACTCATGAGTCAATACATTACTAATGCAACTTGCTTCCCATCAGAAAGGAACAGTTTGAAGTTTTTCATCCAGATCTGTACATCTCGCTGGGTGAAAGTTTTTCTGGTGGGCAGCAAAAAAAAAAAAAAAAGAGGGGAGAAGACAGAGAAATTTAAAGGTGAATGAGATCATTGCCCTGAGAATTCGTACAGGAAGCAGATAAAGACCAATTCTGTCCGGAGAAAGAGAGGGCAAGGTGGAAGCCTCCTGCTGTGAAGACCACATCTCTCCACCCAAGCTGTTCATTACACTACACAGACGCACAAGGTGGGTAGGAAACTCCCCTTTCCCAATTCGTGCATCTCTGGACAGCTGTTGGCAGGCCTGCTGGCTTTCCCCGGGCTCGCACAAGCCTGCCCAGTCATCATATCGCCCTTCACTGTGCACATGCACCCCTCAGCCCCTCCCGGCCAGTAGTAATTCATCCTTGCAAGCGAATCAGAGCTAGACCAGAAGAAAGCGACTCTAACCCATCTCAGTCTGAAAAGCCGGTGAGCAGCGCCCCCTGGTGAACGAAATTGTCTTAAGCTACAAAAGATGGGAAGAGGAAATTGAGGTTAGAAGGTGGAGGGGAAGGGGATGAAGAGTGGAAGCAGGAGGACAAGAAGGAAGAGAAAATAGAAGGGGACCTACACCCACCCTATATGAGGGGCTGCAGCCACCCTCTTTCTCAGCTAAGGCAGTTAAGGCTTCTGGCCTCTCTTTAAAGCTGACTTCCAGAAACTTCAACTGAACCAGCCTTAACAGCCTTCTTAAAAAGGATTGGTGCCCAGCTGTCCTTAAACTGTCTCCTAGTCAAGTGTTAAGAACTTTTCATATGAAGAGTGCATGGAATGGGGGGGAGGAGAGACAACCCCTTCCTGGTGGGGTGTGGTGGAGGCAGAGGGAGCACAGTTTGGGAGTGGGTGAGAGTTTTCTCATCATCTAGGGCATCCTGCCCTCCTCCACCTTCAGCCAGCACTACTTTCAGCCCCTGGCCTTTCCAGAGGGGCTAGGCCAGAGGTGCACCCACCTCTTCTCTTGTTAGAGGCCTGCACAGTGATGACTGCCTTGACTGGGACCTGGTCATCCTGGACCACCCAGCAGGCAAACTCACACCCGTCCACTGTGGCCTCCTCCAGCAGCAGGTGGTCAAGGGAGTACATCCCATCTGAATTGCTTGTGTTCTTGGGGAATTCCTCCAGGATCTTGTGCCCATTTTTCATCCAGATGAGCTTCAGGTAGGAAGGGTAGAAGTGCCTCACATGAAAGTGAGGTTCACTCTCTGTCGCTCGTGCTCATGGCTCTTGGAGGATTTGGTGATATTCAAGGAGGGGACGACTAGACAGAGGAACAGAAACTAAGCTGATGAAATTAGCCCCTGCCTGCCTGGCTTACCCTGAGTTTCCCCATCCCAAGGACCAGCCTCAAGATCTCTCACTCTTTCTATTCTCATTGTAAGGCAAACAGTGACTAGTATTAATATCTATTAAATATGGGTGGAGGTACATGAGTGTGTAGTATATTCTTTTCTGTATGTTTTAAATATTTTGTATGATGAAATATAATTGTAAGAATTATTAAAATATAATGTCCATGAGGACAGGTACTTAATTTTGCTCATTACTGTATCCATAGCAACTAGAACAGTACCTGCCACACAGTGGATATTCATTACTTATTGAATGAACAATCAATATTTAGAATTTAAAAGTAATAGTAGTGATATGCAGTGTGATTGAGAAATATGGTGAATGCTTAAATTTTTATTTTTTAAATAACTTTATTATCAAACACACACACATACAAAAATTAAAACCATTCAAAGAAGAACAATGCAAGGGAAAAAAAAACCTACAATAATATTCAAATACAGTAGAACTCAACCAAAACAAGACTGAAAAGCACTTAAACATTTTTCCATATAACTTAAAAAAGCATCTCATGCACCAACAAGACACCAGAGGATGTGATTTGTTTCAGAAAGATCCCCAAAGCCAACACTGAACAAATAGTGGTCTGGAAAAAAACTCCAGTTAGCTAGCAGACTCCACATAAGCCAAACATCTCCCTAATTTAAATTTCGATACAGTCATATGACGCGCGATGGAAACACAATCTGAGAAATATGTTATTAGGCCATTTCATCCGTGTGTATCCTTAATTACTCTTTCAGTTTCTCACACTAGAGAAACTATTCAGTATTTACACATATGTGTCCTATTTATTTATACATTTTTAAATGTATTACAGTAAAAGATATATTTCCATTAGTGCCTCTCAAAATACTCCCCTCACTTCAAAAATACTTAGCCCATCATTCTTGCCACTTTCTAATGCAGTTCCTGAAGTCCTTTCATTTTGACTTTGAAGAAAGCCAGGAGTTGCATGGTGCCAGAACCAACGAATAAGGTGGATGAGGATACACCATAATGTTTTCACAAGCCTGCTTTTCCATTGAATGACACTGGGCAGTAGCATTCACTGTATTTTTTAAAATTACATCTCATAAAGACACAAAAGAAGACTTCCAGAACTGCTTCAGAAAGTAGCAAAAACAATGCAGTAAGTATGTTTGAAGCAAGGGGGAGTGTCTTGAGAGGGACTAACGGCAATGTGTCTTTTACTATAATAAATTTTCAATTTAAATATTCACTGTATTTTTATCACACCTTGTAGTAATTGAACAAAGAAAGTTAAAAGGGGAGACTGGGGCCAGATAATAGTAAGATCAGATACTCATGAGCAATTTGCTGTGAGGTAGGCATGGTTCTATGTGTTATATAAGGAATAATCCATTTGGTCTTCAGACAAAATCTACAAAGTAGGTCTTAGTTTTATTTCTATTTTACAAGGAAACAAAGGCACAAAATAGTTAAGAAATGTGCCCAAGATCAGACAACTTGTGAAGTGGCCCAGCTAGGACTAAAACCCAGACACACAGCTAGCCTCTGGAAGCTATGCTTTTTATCTTTTTATATGGGGTGAGAGGTAATTATATGGAATTTCAGGTCCCCACTTGTTAAATAAGGCTTTGGGCAAAAATCCCAAAAGCCAATGCTGCCAGGATACCCACGCACAAGCACACTGCACAGCCCACTCACTGTAGAGCACTTGGGAGAGGTTCATGGTCATCCACAAGGGCTCATCAAGGTCCCTGTGAGTGACTTCACAGGTGATCTGAGACAAGATGTCTTCTCCAGTCAGTGTCACCCATGCCTTGCTGGTGATGGAGTAAGTGCCTTTGCTGTCAGCCACAAGGTACTGGGCTGAGGCTGGATGTTCAACACTGCTCTTAAACAAGGTGACTTTGAAGTCTTCAGAGCTGAAGGGGCCAGCAGTGCAGTTGAAAGGTTCTGATATTTCTGAGATTACCCTCTGAGATGGGCCCATCAGAGAAATAAAGGGTTGCCCAGCTGCAAAAGACCGTGACTGTAACCACACACTGAGAGTGGGGTGCGTCCAGGACTCAAACTGTAAGAGATACACATGGTATAAGGGCCCTGTGGACCTACTACCTGTCATGTGCTTGGTTCCAGCCTCAGGGAGTTCACAGAGAGACAACAACAAGTAAACAGCAGATATAGATTCGATCATACCTCGGGCTCAGTGTCCTTAGAAAACCCAAAGAACACAGAGATGCCAGAAAATCTCATTCTGGAAATGTGATCAGAGGAAGATATTTTAAGTTAAAAGTGGGAAAAGAATAGGAACTAGCTGTGGGAAAGGGCCCAGGAAGAACATTCTGGATGGCAGAAACGGCAGGTGAGAAGGGGCTCAGGTGGGAAGAGCTTAGAAGACCCAAGAAATCAAGAGGACTACAGGACTTGGGCATGGTGGGCACAAGAGACTTTAAATACAGGTGCATGGCAGTCTCATTTGCATTTTTAGAAGACTGTGGAGGCCAGCAAGGAGGGTGGTAGGAAGGGAGCAGGGAGCCTGTCAAAGAAGGTGAAGTGACAGTGACCTGGCCTGAGGTGGTAAGAAACAGAAAGACTTGAGATACATTTGGAAGATCTGGCCCATGAGATGGCAGTGGGCTGGATGGGGCATGAGGGGTAGAAGGAATTCTAGTCAATGATCCCCAGGTTTTTCTCCTGAGCATCTGGGTGTATGGTGGCTCTATTACTGAGATGAAGAGACATGAACAACAACCAAGTAGGGAAGGGAAGGGAATGGCCAAGAGTCACAATGTCCATTTTGGACATAAGTTTATAATGGCTTCAGTGTGAAGTGAACAAGGGTGGTTGGCTCTCCCAGTCAGGTTTTTCCTACCAACATCTCACAAGGCATCCCCTCTCCATTAACTCACTCCGTGATGTGGAGTTCTTGCCACCCCAGAAATCTTCATTCATCCTCATACGGCTAGGACTATGACAAAGTAATTCCTGCTCCTAAACTTGTCTGTGTCTCCTGGAGTCACCCCAGGAAAACTGCAGGGCAAGAGTTGTCCCTTCTCCTGAGGACAGCCCTTCAGACATGTACAGCGTGGTCCCTTCAAGCTTTTGCTGCACCTTGAATCTCTGCTTTGCACCAGGCTGTGAGCTGCGTGCTGGGAACACAGAGACAGGACCCTGGCTCTCAAGGAGCCTCTGTTCAGGCAGCAGGGGTAGAAGACAGACACAGCTACCAGCAATGACAACACAGGGCCACAAGTGGCAGAGGGCAGCTCAGAAGGCCATGGTCCTGTGTTCTCTTAGCCCACAGTTCTGGTGCCCAGGAATCGTGCTCCCTCCTTAACCCCTTACCTAGTCACAGCCTGCTGTGGTTTATAAAGCACTTTCAGGTATAGGTGCTCATTTTACCCACAGCCCACCTGTCTGGGGTCGGTACTGTTGTCCTCACTTACCTGAAGGGGAGACACACTCAGAAAGGCTTAGTGACTTGCTTAAGACTACGCAGCTGTCAGTGACAAAGGATGAGTGGGTTGGTCTGAACTTGGGGTCCAGGATGTATCACTTGGGGCATTGCTCTCTGCCTCTGTCCTTCCTGCCTGCACACACTCCCTGACTCAGGCCAGAATTGCCATCAGGGAAACCAGGGTCCTCTTTCACTGACCTCCCCCAGTGCCCTCCCCTGTGTCACATCTCCTCCTCTGACCCCTAAGCTCCCACCATCTCCCTTTACCCACAGGGTCCACAAGGAGGAAGAGAGGCAAAACACAACCTGGCGAGCAGGAAAGGTCTCAGCCATGGCCTCTAGGCCTTTTGCCCACCTGGAACACAGGGAGCTGCCCTCAGGGCTCTCCCACAGGCAATCCCTCAGGGCTCTCTGCCTGCTCTGAGGGTCTGGTGGGCAGGACACAGGACTCACCTGTGAGTCCCAGCAGGAGGGTGGCCAGGAGGGGGAGCAGGGCCTGCCCAGGTGTGGAAGACATGCTGAGAAGCCCACCGTGTCCCTGCTCTGAGCCCACAAACACCTGGGTAAAGCTCTGATGAACCTGGAAGCCACCATCTAGTCTTCTGCCAGCCTGGGGCTGCCTTATAGCTCCTGCTGCCCAGCCCCCAGCCAGGCCTGGATCAGAGCTGTGAACCAGAGTGAGAGAAGTGGTCACGGTGGAAAGAGGCTCCACCCAAACTCCTAACCCACAGTTAGGGAGGCAGCTGCTGCCTCTGGTGAGGCTGATGCTCATGAGCCAGATAAAGGAGGGGCTGAGCTCCACCTCAAGCTTCTAGCCACAGAGCTGGCCCTGAGGCAATGACCTTTGGGGTCCTTTCCCCCTGAGGTTCCTCCATGTTGAGAGAGTCTGCCCAGGGGGCAGCTTCTGGGAATAGAAAATGGATCAGTGGTAGTCCCAGTAAGGCTGGTGAACTGAACCTGGACAAATATGACCAAAGACAGAAGGTGGACCTTCTTTTCTCCCCATACCCTACAGTACCCTCAGTTCCAGGGACTGAACCCAGGGTCTTCATACTGAGCTTCATCCCCAGACCTTTTTTTAGTTTCTTTTATTTTGAGAGAAGGGGACACTAAATTGGTAAATTGCTCAAGATGGGCTCAAACTTGCAATCCTCCTGCCTCAGCCTCCAAGAGTACTGGGATTACAGGTGTGCACCACCACACCTGGCTACAGCGTGGGCCCTGAAACTCAATCCCAGGTCCTCCACTTAACAAGGATCACACAACGTGTGAGGGGCATAGGAGCATTTCCTGCTACTGAGGATTTTCTAATGGCTTCAAGCTAGGAAAAAATGAATTGAAATGCAGCTGCCTGTTTCTCTGACCTGCTGATGAAAATAACCTCTCCCCAGTCTCTCTCCACCCCTTATTCCATCTGGCTTTCTGATGGTTCATTTTGACATACAGACATTT